CTTTTAATTTGCGGAAACAACGAGTTGGAGAGTCCATTACAGACTATATTACTGTGATTAAAACCTTAGCCAGTACATGTAATTTCGGATCATTTTTTGACAACGCATTAAGAGATCGTCTTGTGTCGGGGTTATTAAATACCAATATGGTCAGTCGTCTACTAGCTGAATCAGACGCCATTACTTTTGAGGAAACATGCAAAATTATTTTCGACATGGAAGCGGTAGAGAGGTCAACGAACATTATGTCTGGAAATGACGTCACGGCTCACGTCAGTCACGTGACCACGCAGGGAGCGCGGCAGTCTACGTCAACTCCTACGTCACAGTCCTGGAGATCCAAACAGCGATCACGTACCCCACCTCTCCCCGCTACGTACAATAGACAACGGTCAACATCAGCTGGTTATCCACGTCATCCACGTTCCGATAAACATTCGCCGTCCCGATATAGGTCACCGTCCCCGCACCGCCGCTCGGACCATGAACTATCCAACAACAACCGGAAAACCTGTCGTTATTGTTTTAAGAGACACAGTCCATCAAAATGTCCCGCAAAAGACTGGATCTGTCACAACTGTGGTAAACAAGGACACGTTGCTGGTTTTTGTCATAGCGCTAATTTTGTTAACATGTCTAATACATTAATTAATGAGTCCGGTCCTTTGTCTGTATGTATACAAGTAAATGGTACACCTACTAATTGGCTAGTAGATACTGGTAGTGCAGTTAGTATTTTGAGAGCAGATCTGGCTAGGAGCTTAAAGCTAACTAAATTGTCACCTTTTCTAGGTCAAATCAGAAGTGTCAATGGTCAAGAATTAAATATTTTGGGTACTTGTGAGGTTGAGGTTAAACCCCAAAACCAATTGAAGCAACATTTTTTGAATGTTATTGTAGCTGAACAGCTGTCATGTCCCGCTCTTTTAGGGAGAGATTGGTTGTCAGTTTTGTCACCAAACTGGTCAACTAACTTACTGTCGGGATGTTTGTCTAACACTAATGATTGTCCAGTAAATTATGTGTCGAGTCCAAACGATGAATGTCAGTCCGTGGTTCAATGTAGGCCTAAAGCAAATGTAGTTGAAGTTTTGTCAACACGTTTCCCTTGTGTTTTTTCAAAGAAAAACAATGAACTACCAATCAAAGATTTTAAAGTCAGTATAAATCTGAAAGATGATGTTCAACCTGTATTTCACAAAGCGTACACAGTCCCTTATGCCTTGAGAGATGAAGTAAATCAAGAGTTGTCTAGATTAGAGTCTGAAGGTATCATAAGTAAAGTCAAACATGCAGATTGGAGTAGTCCCATGGTTTGTGTACCAAAATCTAACGGCAAGTTGCGTATGTGCGTTGATTTTAAAACCACTTTGAACAAGCATTTAAAAGTAGATCAACATCCTATCCCCACTCCTGATGATAGTTTTAACAAATTTGTGGGATGCAATGTTTTTTGTCGCTTGGATCTGTCTCAAGCGTATTTGCAGTTAGAAGTTCATGAAACAAGTAAACAATTGTTAGTTGTTAACACAATCAAAGGTCTCTATATGTACAACCGCCTTCCTTTTGGCTTAGCATCTGCTTGTGCAATATTTCAATCAGTTATTGAATCAATCTTGTCAGAGTTAAATCAGGTTGCGCCTTATCTAAATGATATATTAATTGGAGGTAAAGATTTAACCGAATGTGAACAGAATCTGCACAGTGTATTGTCACGTCTTGAAGAGTACAATGTAAAGTTAAATGTAGATAAGTCAGAATTTTTTGTACAGTCGTTGATATTTCTAGGGTTTGAGCTGTCTGGTAAGGGTAAAGCACCGTCTGCTACCAAAGTGCAGCAGATTTTGTCTATTCCAGCTCCTACTAATTTAACAGAACTTAAGTCATTTGTGTCAATGTTTAATTACAGTACTACAGAAACTTTGTACACATGTGTCCAGACCTTTTAGAACCTTTTCATAAACTAATGAGAAAAGATGAACCATTTGTCTGGTCATCAGAATGTGCATTAGCTTTTGCTAAGTGTAAAACGTCTCTATCAGAAGCAACTATGTTAGTATTGTTTGACCCATCAAAAGAATTAATTTTGTCTGTTAATTCAAGTTCTTTTGGTGTTGGTGCAATTTTGAGTCAAGTTGAAGGTAACAAAGAGTACCCAATAGCTTTTGAAAGTGCAACACTAAACCCAGCACAAAGAAATTATTCACAATTAGAGAAGGAAGCTCTGGCTTGTGTTTTTGGTCTAAGAAAGTTTCACAAATATTTGTGGGGAAGAAGTTTTACAATTTGTAGTGATCACTTGCCCTTGAAGAGTATTTTCAGTGAAAATAAGAGAATACCTAACTTAGCTTCTTCAGAGCTAATACGGTGGGCTACCATGTTGTCTGCTTATCAGTATAAGATTGTCCACAAGAAAGGTTTATTGATACCACATGCCGATGCTTTGTCGCGATTACCAAGCTCTGATTTAGTCCAAGATGACGATTCTTTTTTTACTTATTTGTCCACTCCTCTAGTTTCTAATGATGAAGTGAGTAAAGAAACCATGAAAGATAACGTTTTGTCTAAAGTGATAGAGTTTGTTCAACATGGTTTTCCAAAAAAAGTGTCCAGTGAGTTCAAAGTGTATTCTAACAACAGCCACTGTTTGAGTGTTCACAATGGTTGTTTGTTTTTTGGAAGTAAAATTGTAATACCTGAAAACCTAAGAAGTAAAGTCCTAGATGTGATTGATTTCAGCCATGCTGGCATAACTAGATCAAAACTATTTGCAAGGTCATACGTGTGGTGGCCTACACTTGATAGCGATCTATATAGATTCATTTCAAATTGTCAAATATGTCAGTCTCATCAAAACAAACGTAGCCTAGTAACCAATATCGTCTACCTTGGCCTAAGTCAAAATGCCCTTGGGAAAGAGTGCATCTAGATTTGTTTGATTTTCGTAACAATAAGTATTTGATCTTGTGTGATTCTTATTCTAAGTGGGTAGAGTGCTTTGTACTAAGAAACAGAAGTGATTTCAAAGCTGTTATAAATAAACTAGCAGAAGTGTTTTCTAGATTTTCATTTCCGCGCACAATTGTGTGTGATAATGGTCCGCCATTTTGTAGTCAGGAATTGAAAGATTTTTGTAAAAGGAAGTCAATCAAACTCATGTTTTCACCTCCATATTCACCTCAATCTAATGGACTAGCTGAACGTTCCGTTCAAACATTTAAAATTATATTGTCTAAATTTTATCTTAGTCAAAGAAGTCATAATCTGCCACCAGAACAAATGTTACTAGATTGTCTATATGCTTATCGTTCCACTCCATCCTCTGTAACGGGTAAATCTCCTATGGCAATGCTACTTACTTTTGTACCTGAAACGCCTTTGTCGTCTTTAAAAAGAAATGTAAGTTTCAACTTTGTATCAGATCAGTCAAAAAGAAAGAATCTGCCTGAAAGTAAAGACAAGCAAAAGATAAGAATTCCAAACTACCATCCTGATCAATTTGTATGGGTAAATTTGAATAAAAGAACAAATGTTGGTGTAAAGTTTGTGGTAGGTCAAGTGACCAAGAAAATTAGTCAGACTGTTTATTTGGTAAGAGTGTTATCTGACAAAAGTATTCACAAAGTCCATGTAAATCAGCTTAGAGAATATTATGTTCCAAAACCTAATCCTGATAAACTCCACACCAAAACACCGTCACCTAGACATGTGCCTAGTCCTAGTCCACCCAGACCATCTCCTGTTAACAATAGTACCAATCCACGTCCATCTCCACCCGTCCCCCAACCTTCACCTACAAGTCCCCTTCAGCAGACTAGTAGTAGAGGAAGAGTAATCAAGCCGACTAAAAGATTTACATTTTCTGAATTTGATTGATGATATTGAACTGTCTTTTTTGTCTTTGATGTTGTTTACTGTTTTGTTGTGTGTATTTTCAAGAATTGTAAACAAAGTTTTTATTTCATTTATTTTGTCACTTGAATTTTTGATGTTTTAATTATTGTACATATTGTCAACTTATACATGGGAAGGTAGTGATGTATCATAGGTATACCCCCACCAGGTAACCGATAGCCGTACTCAGATAGTTGGCCATTCCTGTCTGGGCCGTCTAAATATCAACAATGTTTGTCTCTGGCGTTACCTAATAAAGTTTGTCTGTTCAGTTTCAAATGTGAGTTTTATTATATTATAGTATACCTCCAAGAACACGTCAGTATTATGGCCTATTCCATAGTCATCTGAACTACGGTTTGCAGTTGTGGGGTCTTGCGCCTGGTTCTAGGAGATCCTGCAGACTCCAGAAGAAGGCACTCAGAATTGTAACATCTAGTAAAGCTGACGCCCACTGTAGACCTCTTTTCATGCGTCTCAGAGTTATGACATTGTTCAGCCAGTACGTCTTAAACAGTGTTGTACACATAAAGAAAAACTTAGATGATTTTAGCTTCAGGGGTGACCTTCATAGCTGCAATACTCGTAACCGGAGCCAACTTGACCTTCCATCCCATCGGCTCAGTAAGACTGCAAATAGTTTCCCCACTCTGGCCATAAAGGTGTATAATAGTCTCAGTGTTGAGATCAGAGGCCTACCAGTTAATGCGTTCGTAGTGCACATGTCTAGGGAGTTGAAGACTAGGCCCCTTGACTCCATCAGGAAAATTTTTGAAACCCCTGACTCAGTTTGGACATCATGATCCACCGCCTTGTAGGCCTATAGTGTCCTAGTCAAAGTTTTAGTTTTAATTTTTCATAACGCAATCTATCCAGCTATGGCTGGGCAACGATGAAGAACCGGTAAAGGTAAAGGATTGTAGTTATTAAAGGAAGCCTCGACATTTAAGCGAGTTGTAGGCCTAGTATTGTTGTTCAAGAACAGTTTAAACACGTTTTTAAGCACGTTTTAGGTGAGTTCTGGAAACTGAACCAATGTTTACATTCAAGTTTACAAGGCCTAGCCTAAACTTAATTGAGAAAATAAGTTAAATAAAAATGTTTACCTCTGTTAGGAAACGGTCTTCCGCTTCCTCTCACTCCTCTTCCCCGATACTTCCATCCTCCCCGTCCTCTAAAAAATCTTGATCTACCGTTAATATTGCTCATATTGACATTCTAAAAAAAATCAAAATGCAATGCCTTATTATTAATATAGTTTTTGAAGAAGTAGGCCTAAATATCCTAGAATCGATCAGTTGGTATAAGACTATTTTTACTATTTTACCAATCAAAATGGTTTGTATCCAGCATCACAAGTTCTTCTCTTCTGCGTTATTTTGGTTAGAGTTTGTCGAATTAGTAAAGGATTGTCAGGATGATCTAAATCAATATTCAATCTGAATCTTGGAATTATTGTTTTTCAATATAGGGACATAGGGTTTATCCTAATAAGTTATTAATTGTTCTGATAATAAGTTATTAATAAGTTCTTCTCTAATTTCTAATCCTAATTTTCAACTTTGACAATGAAGAAGTAAGAAGAGGGGAGGGAAAGAGCGGGAGCACTGCAACACTGCAACACTGCAACTTTGGTATTTACTCAGGGGAGGTATAAATGAGGTTACGATGACAGCTGTGGGCTTCTCATTAGCAGAGGGGACACCATTTAGCGTAACAATACGGTTTTCAGCTATCGGCCTCGGTGAAGCTGACAGATTCATGTTCGAATCTCGCTGGTGGCACTAACTTTTTGACTAAGCTTTTTTTTTTCATTATCAGCAAGTTTGGTTGGTTTGGTTCGGTTATGACAGTTTAATTTTATTATTAAGTCATTATAACATTTTAATTGAGCAATTTCTAGTTTTATTTAATGAACAGAATTATTTTTTTCTATTAATAATCTTTTTTATATTATTTTATTATCAGCAAGTTTGGTTAGTTCGGTTAGGTTATGATAGTAATTTTATAATAACAAAATTTTAAAATTGAATTTGAGGCATTTATAATTTTATTTTATGAACAGAACTATTTTTGCAATTAGTAAACCTTCAATTGCCAAAATGCTCTCTACTACAGCGCTGTTCACGGAGGAATTTTGAACTAATGCCTCAATCGTACCTCCCCCACTCCGTTTCTGACCTAAAAGAAGGAGACACTGCGGCCAAAGAAGTTGACGTCACCGCATATGCTGTTCCCTATGTGCGCATCAGGCGAGGAACTGGACTGTGCTGAATGTAAGTGGTGGAGTATTGATCTCTTTTAAACAATTGTTAATGTCTGGAATAACGAGCGATGTGGAAGTCGATCTTTCCCAACAGCTCAGGACAGTCCAATGAGCCATACTATCTTGAAGAGGAATACTGCGTCAATCAACTCTCTTCGAAGAAGCAACGGCGGGAGGCCAAGAAGCTGACCAATCTCGTTAATTTAAACTTCCGTGTCTTGACTCCAATCAATCTGAGAAAACGGTTTTGGACTTTTTCATATCATTAATCAGCAATTCCAGTTGATAAGGGGGCCACACAGTTGCCCAAGTAGCAAAAATCGTTGGCAAATCGTTGGCCCAACGTTTCTGTCGATCGTTGGCCAACGGTATGTTTTGGCGCTCAGTCTTACGGTTGGCCAACCAACCAATTTTTGCGGAAGGGCCAACCATCCCATTGGACATAAACATAAAAAACACAAAATAATAAAGATTTTGTATGCAAAGCATAATTATGAGTTTAGTAAATTGATTAAATAGTTCTTAAAAACTTATTTTGAAAATTAAACGAAATAAATTTTTTTGGGCCGGGACGGGTCTTGAACCCGGTACCTTCGACATGTGAGCCTCACGCCTTACCTCTGAGCTAACTGTGCTTGTTGGTTAAGAGTGTTTTCAAGTTGTGAAAGAGTAGCCGACAGGTGCAATGGTCACAATTAATACTTTAATATTTTTGATGCTACAGTATATGATTCTGTTAATCTGTTTAGGCCTCAAGTAGTTGAATTGTTTTTCTGGTATTTGGAGAGGATACTAGTATTTGAATATAGATTATTTAATTACCGTTAGATTAGGCTACTGTTATAATTGATTGTTATATAATTAATTAATATTTTCTCTATAACTATTAAAAACTTGCTTAAATAAGTTAAAGAATAAAAAAAATAATTATAATAATTATTATATGTTAAGCAGGTGTTCCCCACTGTATCTAGTATCACAACATCATCTGACTACATTCATTACCGGTATTGATCCAAATTTTTACAATATTTGTCTTATATTCTGCTGCCATAACATTTATGTACTTTTAAATAAATCAATTTGTTAAAATTCGTTTAAGAATGTTTTATACTTAAACCCAACGAAGGCCCAAAGATTCCTTCCTTTGTAGGGCCAACGAATACCAGTTTCCGTTGGGCCAACGTTGGCAAATCGTTAAAATTTCTGCCAACCATTTCCCAACCATGCCGACCATTTCCCAACGTTGGGCCAACGATGTGTGCTACTTGGGTGAGTTGTATCCCAGAATTGAGCGAACGAGAGTCATTTAGAGAGATTTAATGGTGGTAATAATAAAGGGTCCTCTGACTCCTGAAGATGAAACCAAGCACGGAGTAGGCTTGATACTTGATACTTGTGTCCTTAATCCTTGACCGACAATGTCGATAGATTGCGTCATAGGCACATTAACATACTATTTATTTACATATTATTTAAAACTAATATTTACAAACTTCTTACTAAACAAACTATTTATTAACTGGGCTGTGGCGATTTGATTTCCTAACTGATTTCCTACTGTAGTGCTGTTTTCAGCTGACTTTTAGTGGCACTTCCCTTAATTCCTCTAAAGAGTAGAGGGGTCTTTTTACCAGATGGGCCTGCAGTACTGCCCTGAATTTAGTCCTGTCTAACTCTCTCACTCTTTTTGGCAGCGTGTTAAAGATCTTGATTGCTGAGCGAGGGTAGCTTTTGATGGAGTGGCTAAGCCTACACCGCGGCAGATCAAGGTCCTGGGCCTTTCGAGTGTTATGGCTATGCTGGCTTTCCCTCATATCAAAAAGGTGGAGGTTGTCTTTTAGGAGTAGCAAACTGCTTAGGACATATTGGCTGTGCACTGTTAGTATCCCTAGCTCCATGAAAAGAGGCCTGCAGTGTTCATCAAAGTCTGAGGATGTTATAATTCTTACAGCCTTCTTCTGTAAGAGGAGAATGTCCTGAGTTAGTGGTTAGTGGTAAGGCCTTGGAGCAGATGCGAGATATGTGAATGGTGAAGGTCGATGTGAAGAAAACCCCAGTAGATTAGGGTCCATTGACATCTTTAGCGTTTATGCACTGACTTTTTACGAATTACCATAGATTAAACATACTCCTCAAGGTACAACATACTCCTTGAGGAGTATGTTTAATCTATGGAATTACTAACTGGATTAGATCGGTAGTAAACCAGCGTGGGAATCTTCTTGGGCCGATTTTCATTGGGGGAAATTTCTCTTCAATCAAATGATGTAAGTCATGGCAGAACGAGGTAAATATCATGTGGACGTTACAGGGGTTTACCAGAAGATAATTTTGATATGATAATTAATCGATACAGCCTCTACGTTGCAACGTCTACTTTTGTTTTTAGGTTGTAATCCATAATATGTGGAAACAACAAATTGTATTAGTAAAGAAGGTTATTTAGTTATATCGATGCTTGCTTACTCCGCTCAATTGGCAGACCTGAGACTGCAGTTGTCCCACTACATTGAATTTTTGGTGACGTCATTGGACACTGGCCGAAAAATTGTCGTTGTGGAACGCCAACCCTTAGGAAGATTTGAGTCTCCTCAATGTTATGGGCTATCAACGCTAATAATGGTTGTCGATGCTAGAGTATCATAGATAAAACAAAAACCTATCCCTTAGTGTTCTTTGACGGTCAAGCAAAAGCAAGGGCTCAAGCTAGCACGGCCGCCTTTAACTCCAGGCCGCGGCCTTCGAAGTGGCAACTTCGTAAGTAGGGTTGTAACAACTGTTTTGTTTGGAAGCAGCTATAAATGGTGTTTGTGTATTTACGAAAGCTTGGTTACTGGTCTATGAAAATATTGACTCCGCTTTAATGTATAGATAGATATATATATTCAATTCACATATTGTTTTGGTTTTCAATTATGTATGTTTTATTTTCAATATTTTAATAAATTTATGTTGATAAATTAAAATTAAAATCAATAAAGTGAGAATTAATGAGCTGGTATCACCTGTCTGTCATGTTATCTTATGGGACGTCTGACACCTAACAACCCTAAAAAACATCGTCTATCGAGTTGAGTTCAAGTCCAACTTGGACTCAGTCCAGTTCAGTTAACCTCAACAGTATGCCTGGCCTGGCCTAGCTCAGCTCAGTCAGCTCAGAGTCAGTAGACTTCAGTTTCAGTTGAGTCAGTTCAGTGAGTCACTAGCGGCTAGTCCCTGCCCACCAAATCTGTTCGGGAGCGAAACTTCTACCCTCCCACCAGCCCAGCTGTTATTTGGAGGCTTCTGATTGGCTGAGGGAACACCATTACGGCAACGATCCGGCTTGATGCCAACGGCCTCGTATAGTGGATAGAGTGCCGGGCTGATGAACCTAAAGAGCCGGGTTCGAAGCTCACCCGTGGCCCTATTTTTTCGTCTCGGATTTTTTTCATTATCAGCAAGTTTGGTTGGTTTGGTTAGGTTCTGACAGTTTAATTTCATAATAAAAAATTATAAAATTGAATTTGAGTCATTTATAATTTTATTTTATGAACAAGACTAAATTTTCAATTAGTAAACCTTATAGTCAATCAGAAGCCTTCAAATGACACTGTTGGGAAAACTAATTCTGGAATAAAAATTCAGCTGGAGGGAGGGTAGAAGCACAGACAAGACAATTCCTTAGTCAATGGTAGAAGTTTCGCTCCCGAACAGATTTGATTTGGTGGGCAGGGACTAGCCGCTAGTCTTTGACGCTTTGACTCAGTTCAGTACAACACAATAGACCGCACTCCGGATGGGCATACGGGAGGGACGATGGCTAAAGGTGTGGTGACGTCATACCTCTAATGGCTATGTCTTCTATTGAGGCAACCGCAACACGATTACCGTAACAAGACGATGTGATTAATTGTTTATTAATAATTTAATTATTATTATTTAATATTAATAATTAAATTATTAATATTAATTAATAGTTAATTTAAATAATTAAATAAGTTTAACTACTAATCATCATTTAAATAATTAAAAATTTCATTTTTATCTTATGTATTTTTTATATTATCAGCAAGTTTGGTTGGTTAGGTTAGGTTATGATGGTTTGATTTTATAATTAAAAAGTTAATTTTATAACTAAAAATTATAAAATTAGCCTAATTTAAAATTTTCAACTTAGCGGCGAACGCTGACACTAGCCATCGTCCCTCCCGTGTGCCCCACCGGTCAACACTTACAAGTTACAAGTTACAGTTACAACCTACAACACAACAAAATTCAAGGAAGCTTTCAGTAGAGTAGCTGTCACTGCTTTTTGCTGTCAGTTTCAGTTATCTATTAATCTATATATTAATAGGCAAGCATGTTTCTTTAAAACCTTTTTTCTCAGCTCGTGTGCATCGTAGGGAAAATCTACGCATACCGTTGGAAAGCTATTTTCCTGTAGGTGTGCAGAATCCCTTTATAAATTTAAATAGGCTCAAAGATAAGCACAAAAAATAAGTTTAAAAGTTGTAAAAAATTAACATGGATCTTATGCGTTGCTATGCTGGTTACGAAATAACAACGAAATATAAACAGAAAATCAAAACAAATGGAGGAAACTCCAATCACATGTTTTATTTACAGTGTGGGGTGAAAATAGTTAAGTGAGTACATTACATATTTTTGGTCGAGTTTCGACCACTGGACGACCTCTCGTATCATTGATTATACAACAACACTTGACCTTAAGATAGGTTCAGTTTGTTAAAACTTAAAAATAAAAATACTGTAGAGTCTTTAATAAGGTTAAGGATGACGTCAAATAACCCTACTGATGATGAAAATTTCGAGTTTAATTGGCTTCAAACAAGAAAAGAAGTTGGTTTACCCGATCTTTCTGCCTTCAATGATGAAACTGGATCAGAAAAGTTTATGAGGAAATTCAAAGAAAACCCTTTGGTGCCCATAGGTAAAATCTAGACTTTTCCATTGTACTAACAAAAAAATACCTAGGCTAAAAACTTAATTATTTATTCTACTAACGTAGATAAAAATAACAATCGCAAAACTTGATAGGCCTATTTATAGCTCAATAACTCATTTATTTAGCTAGATCAACATTACAAATGCATTAGCCAAGCCAAATTTACTAAGACTAACTAACTTAGCCTATTAACTAACTTTTTGACTGCTTATTATCGAAAATAACCTAGATAATTATAGATTAAGTTATTATTAAACAAACCCTAATATCGATAACCAAACATAGCCTAGCCAAAAACCAATTTCATAATGATCGATTGTAACAGTATAGCCTAACTTATATTTTCAAATAAACCTATATAAGTTAGGTAGCCTAATCATGGTGGAGTTGGATATCAAAGTTCTTTTATCATTTATTAATTATTGTGTAAGTTTTAATTAACTTAAATTAAAAAAATGCCTAAGTTAGCCTATTTCTTGTGTTAATAATGTAGGCTAACTTAAACTTAGGCCTAGCTTATTTTCTTGACTTTCAGAGTGACTACAGTAGGCCTACTCCATTAAGCAATGAATCATTTGCCCCAAATAAAAAACTTCGATTGCCAACGCCATTGTAATTTAAATATTTAAGTTAACATAAAGTAGGCCTAGGCCTATCCATTTAACTCTCGAGGAGGTGCTTCACCAGTAGCCTAAAACAGGGGTGGGCATGCAGAGTTTTATTCCGCAACACTAAATAGCATAAATTTTACCCATTTTCTTGTTGTTATAGGTAACAAAATATTATATATAAATGTTGAATAGGCCTAACCTAATCAGAAACCTAATTTCTTTGTTAATAAGTTATAACATTATTTTTGGTTTAACATTATATGAGTAATATTTCAAATAATCATATTGAGCAAATTTCTAGTATAAAGGTACCTATGTCACGTTACGCGTGCGGAGTTTTGTTCCGCAATAATACAATTATACATATACATGCAAAATAACTTATACCGTATTTGATAATAATTATAAATGAAATAACTTAATACGTTTAAACATGTTTATAATTTTTTTTGTATAAAATATAGGTACACACAGTTTGACAATAGTGCATGAGGAAAAAACCCTGCGCTAAGGACTTAGGTATGCGATATCGCGCACGCAGAGTAAATCTCCGCAAACTAACATCGCGTCACTGAATTGCAACTGACAACAAAATGAGGAGGAATTCGGGGGTAAAAATAGCTTAGGGGCATTCCCAGGATAAGGTGTGTGAAGTGTAAGTTAGAGCCGGACACAACTGCTGCCAACACCCATTATGCATAAGTTATTCATATTAACAAAAACTACAATTGCTGAGGAAAACTCTGCAAGCGCCTGCTCGAGGGTTAATGGTAGGTGTAAGTAGTGTAAGTGTGGCAGGGAGTTTCTCCCTAATCCTTGTATTTCCCCTGTTTTTGGGGTAAGACTTACACCCTATTTTTGGGGTGCGTAAGGCAATTCAATGGAACCATCGCTGCCTCGAAACCCCCTCTTTTACTTATTTTACAAGGGGGACTGCCCACCCTAATAAACATTTTATTTTGTTGGATTAACTTAGCCTAGTTATATTTTCCTCAACACAAATACACCATTTTTGTACCATTGTAACTTATCTTGCCCACTTCTCCCGTTAGGGGACAAAACTGCCCTTTTCCTACAAGGAACTTATATGGATCTGGGGAGTTGGTATGTTGCAAAGATGTTTGGGGACTGAAAATAAGCAAAACAAAATTCAAATTAGAATTGAAAAAATATCTAGTGGAGTTAAGTTTTCATGACATAGACAGTTACCTTAACGGTGACAAAAACTAGTATTAAGATTGGTTATTCGTTGTATTAGCCCTGACCTGTCCAATACCTTAAGGCAAAGGACTACGGACGGAGAGATCATGTATCATGTATGTATGTATGTAATATGTGTCCCCTCCTATTTTTGGGGCGAGAAGTTCAATGGAACAATCGCCATCCTCCAAAACCCCCTCTTATGACTTATGGTAATGTATATGCCAGGCCTATATATGGCTCTGGGAGTTGGTATGTTGCAAATATGTTAGGGGACTAAAATTATGTGTACACACCCCCCACCTAGGTTAGATATTTTTAGGGTAAGAAATTCAATGAAACCATCACCATCCCGCTACCACCCCCTTTTTGAATTATTAAGGGGGTAATTTACATGGATGGCAATCGATAACCAAACATTTTTTAACCAAAAACCGAACTTTCAATTGTTTGTAACAATCGATAACTTAATGATGGAGTTAGATATTAAATTTTTGCAAAGTTATTAATTTTTTAGCCAATGGAATGGCTAATCCACAGTAAGAAAATACAATGCGTGTTATACAGCTGGCGATAATTACCAATCATTTATAGCTTATTTGAATTCCATACCTAACTCATTTGTCATGGAAAAACTATGAACGAATGTAATTAAATAAAAAATTCTATAAGTTAGGGTGTCTGCAGGGACTTCAATCACTTAATAAAAGTTGAGTTATCAGGTTGGTAACATGTATCGGTATATAAATTGACACTCACTAACTTTTTTCCTTGATGTTGAAGCCAGCGGCATTTATTTTAGGGTTACATAGGAGAAAGCACTTAAAGGCTTTTTAAGAAAATGGGTCCAAACCCATATGTGTTGTGGATGTGCCGGGAATTGAACTTGTCCCTCCTGCAATAAAATCTAAGACGCTAACTACAAGGCTAGCAACACACCCTAAGTTATCAAGATTTTTTCATCACTAAGTTAATAGTTTAGAATTGGACAGTCAATTATTGTGTAGATAGTAAGTAAGTTATTGCGTTATTTAATAGACTGGCCTAACTTATTGTTTTCTAGGTGAGGGAAACAGTAGGCTACTTTCCTGTTAAAAGGAAGATTCATTATTATTGATGATATTTTCTTTTGATATATTGATTTTTAGCGAGTTTCCCATATAGGGAATAAGCTATTAATTACCGTAGGTCTCATGATAAGACCTGGACCTGGGACCGACTTTTTTTCGTTTTGATGTCTCCAGAGGCCAAAAACACCATCCGTTCTAAAGTAGCCGAGACTTGGATCCGAATGAACACAGAATGGAACAGGGGACAGAAAACCAGAGTAGCATTACATCTAACTCAACTCACCGGTATTCATTCCAAGACTGAGATTATCTCCTTTCTTCCGATGGTCTCTCCTTTGACCTTGTTGAACTCTTTGAATCTCAACGTCTTGCTGTGGCTTATGGTTCTTGCAATCACTAGGCCTACTGTAATACTATATAATTGATTAAAATAAAACTTTGACTTTTTACACATAAAATAATACCACTTCTTTTACATTATAACATTCCCTCCCAACTTAACAAACAAAAATAAAAATCTTCCTGGTAGGGTATCAATTTCTTCAAATTATAAATCTAATCTTTTTGGTTCTCGCCGCTCTCTTTGTGAACGACAAACCGGTAAAACTTTTGGACTATTCGGTAGGCCTAACTCCTAAATCTTGCTAGGTGAACTTTGAAATGTTTTTTGTGTTACCATTGGAGTGGTGTCCTTGATGGGAGAATTACTCTTACTTCTTCTTAACTCCTCTTGAGGGGAACTGATACATTTTTCTGGGGTGTTTCTCAGTGTTGTTTTTTCATACTCATTAGCAGGTAAGACGATCTCCTCTTCTGAGTTACAGTAATTTGCCGGCAGGTTTACCGCATGTACAAACCTACAATCATTACCTTCCGTTTTTACCAGATAAGTCACATTACTGATAATTTTGGTCACTACTCCAGGTAGCCATTTTAGTTCTTCTTGCCGTACCTACACTTTTAACAAATACCTTTTGACCTACTTGAAATGATCTCTCAGATCCTCTATGTTTATTGGCAGCAGATTCAATCTTCATTTGTTTCGCCTCACATTCCGTCGCCAAGTGTGGCTTCAAAAGACAAAGCCGAGTTCTGGGCTTGAAAATAAAGATAAGATCTTCTGGGGTTAATCCAGTTGCCGTGTGAGGGGTATTGCGGTAAGCAAATAGAAAGCTATCAATACAATGTTGTAAAGGTCGTTTTGATTGTTGATTTTCATCTTGTAGCAGCCGTCTCAAAAAGGCACTTTTTGTGGTTTGCACTGCCCTCTCCGCCAAGCCATTTGATGCAGGGTGGTCGGGGGTGTGACTACATGTAGGATCCCATTACTTTTAAGAAAATCATTGAATTCCCTGGAAGTAAGCTGTGGACCTCCATCGCTTACCAAGGTGTTAGGTAGGCGCGGCAAAACATGATCAGAGTTTTTCTATGGTTTTAGCTGAAGTCTGCATATAAAAAACATCTTAACCATTTTGAGTAGCTGTCTACTACTATGAGAAACTCTTGCCCTTTGAACGAGGCGAAGTCTATATGAATACGTTGCCAACAATGCTTAGACCACGCCCAATGCTGTAAAGGGACCAGTGGAATTGTGTTACGGGTAGATTGACAGATCTTACATTCTTTGATAGTTTCTTCTATGTTTTGGTCTAACTTGGGCCACCAATCATAATTACAAGCTAAGCTCTTCAATGTAACAAGTTCAAGGTCTCTTTACATTATGGACTTGGAATTATTACTCTCCTCCCCCACAATAAACAATTTCGTTCAACTGAAATTTCTGCCCTTCTAAGGAGATAGGGTTTTAGAGTATCATCCATATGACTAGAATAACCACGGAGTGCAAAATCAAGGATTTTTGATCAAATGGGGTCATTAACTGTAGCTAGGCTAATCTCTTTATTTTTATTTTATTTACATGCTTCAATACAGTTTAAACACCATTTACATTGAAGCAGTTCATGCACTTATAATATTATGGCTTCAGTAGGTTTCTTCTTGTCTTTTCACTTCACTTTTACTTACACTTTCACTTTCATGCCATGCATTTAATACTAACATAAAAAACAAAATTATCAATAACTATAACAACAATGTATAAATA